AAGGAAGGAAGGAAGGAAGGAAGGAAGGAAGGAAGGAAGGAAGGAAGGAAGGAAGGAGACAGAGACAAGAGAGACAGAGAAATTTGTTGATTGTAAGCTGCTTGGGGCTGAGAAGAATTGCTGCAAAACGGAGTTTTAAGAAGTGGACCACTAGACTTCTAAACAACTTAAAAAACAATTTATAAAAAGAAAAGGCAACCAAAAGAGCAACATGCAAACAAAAGCAAATAAAGCACCCCGAGGAGCAAAACAAATTAAAGTTTAATTTGTGTGTATTGTTTAATGGATTGCTAATTTTGTCACGCCTACTCAGTCACATGACAATCTAGCCATGCCCATCTACTCAGTCCGCTGTCCCCCAACAGTGTGAGGGACTGTGAATTGGTCCCCCATTTAAAAAGTTTGAGGACCCTGATTTAAAGGCCCGTTCAGCAACCATTCTTGCTTATATGGAACCCTCAAATCAGGAAGGGATTAAGTATTGAACAGAAATTATTTCACATAAGCTTTTTTAGGTTTATGTTACATAGTGTTAGGAGCCACAATCACATATTTGAATTTTATTTCCGCACGTTCTCATGGGTTTCAGTGTATTAACCATTCTTTTCTGAACAACAATTCGCACGTCCTTTTAATCTAATAAGACTATAAGATTTAGAGGAAAATATATCCCAGAGGTCTACAAAATTCATGCCATTATTAGTAGATACTTTAAATAATTATCTCTGGCGAAGTGCTTCTGAAATGTATGCAGAAATTATTCACACATTACATTAAATAAGCACCCTAATTAGTACATTTGTAGCTATAACAATATCAACATTTTGTAGGTCAATAATGATGACATCAATAACAGTTTATTGAATTGCCAGTTCAAATGGTTCTCTTATCAAAAGTGGCAAAGAAGGTGAAACATTATCAACCCTCAAATGTTGATGTTTGTTGTTCGCCACAGCATAATCAAACAACCTGCAACGTGTACTTGATATTCCTTGTCTATCCTATTTGTTTAAAACATTGATAACTCACCCTTTATCTAGAAAATCAAGCAAGCTCTGTCCAAATATCTTCTTCACAACAAACCTATGAAGTAGTTTAGATTGAGAGACAGCAAGTGGCACCAATGATTTTCATGACTGAGGATATTTGACATAAAGCTTTCTAGTCTTAACTTGGTTTTTTTAACAGAGAAATTTTAACATGCTAGAGGCTCATCATTGGATTTTGTAGTTATGGTGGTACACTGCCTATTCACTATGAGAATCTCAGGTTCAAAAAGTGCTATCATTGACCTGACATTTGTGGAAAGGCTATTTATTTGTGTGTTTACTGAAAGGAATTATTTTTGCCAACTTATGTGCATTTTCCTGTGCCATTTCTCATACCAAACATAATCTTTGAAAACAGATATTGCAAGTATTTTACAGGGTATTTAAAAATATCACTTCACTAGCTTTCCTGAAGAAGTTCAACAAGGAAAAGCCTAACATTAATAAATCTATTATTTTTGGAAAGTACTACTAATCTTCACAAGATAGCTGAAAAGTACATGAGTTGGCAAAAATAATTCCTTTCAGTAAACACAAAAACATGTACTGTATATTTTAGGAGGGTTATATTTCCTTGTACCAAAAACAGACATACCATATGCAGGAGTCTGAGATAATCAATGCACAGAAACAGTATTAAGCAGAAATTAATATATCATCAATATTTTATTTCCAATAAAAGAGTTTAGCTATTTCCTATGTTTTTCATATGTCAAATATAAAATTCACATGAAACTCTCATAAAAAATATCAACATTTCAATTAGAGGAAAATTCATTTCCTCTAATGAAGGCATTATAAAAATCAAATAAATAAGATATATTCTAATTTATAGGAATATAGAAAAAGTTACCAAACAACAAATATGAGACAGAGGTTTTTTTTAATTGGAAATTTAATCCCTAGATTCTGCTCTGTGTGCCTGTGAAAAATAATTTAATGCCAATATCTCATCACCCTACTAAGATGACAAATTTCTACATCAGTGGACTTTTAATGTACTACCTTCAATGTTCCTATCAGGTAGAAATAAATAAATAAATCTGCTGCTCCTAAAGCATTTGTCATTCTGATCAAAAAAAGTCATGTCCTTCTGTACTTCTTTTTGAAATCCATATTATTACTTATTTTACATGGTACACCATGAAGTTTTCAATTGAAGGGAGAAAATAAGAAAACCTAACGCTTCCTAATCTACACTCTAAACACAAAAATAAGAAAAGCTGTTTGGAGAGTCTAACTTGCTGTCCAAGAACTGGAACTCCCCAAATGCATCCTTTTAGGGCGACTTGAGTTTTTTAAACTGGGCCTCTGAGGGGAGCAGGAGGCATGGCTACACAATCTTTGAACTCAGTCCTTGGGCAGCAAGCTGAAGTTAACCCATGCTTGGACACTCCAAGCAGCGCCTAGGAGAATCATATTACTACTTATTTTACATGGTACACCACCAAGTATGACAAATCAAAATAATACATCCATCAAACTGCTTTAAGAGTTCCTGATTGTATTAGCAACAAGAACTGAGGATGTTATGTTGAACTTGAACTATCAATATTGCATAGCATGTAATCATCACCAAATTATCAGCATAACCTCACATTATGTTAGGCACAAAGTACATCATTTATATAATGGCAGCAGAGTGGCCCTTTGAAGCGGGATATAAACAGTCCTCTGCTAGAAATTCCAAAATGGGAAAGTTCTTTGCTCTAATGAGCTTTTAAAAATGAGATGTCATTTCGCAAAAAAGGGTTGTATGCAGTTTGGGCAGCAAACAAATTTTATATTATCACTGCAGTAACCATAAATTGAAAGGTTTTGAGAAAGATCTGTATGAAATGATTTTTTTTTCAAAAGTACACAAACATGTTTTTCCAAAAATAGAGAGAGACAGATGACTATTAGGAAAAAGTGAATAACTTTTTCATGGAAAGTTAAATGTCTTACCAATTAAACTAAAAAAACTCATTTTTTATGATCCTGTAATCCCTTAATTAAACAGCTAAAACAATAAACACATGAAAAATAATATAAATAGTTCTGAAAATATATTAAAGAATTTGGAAAGTTTCCTTTTATAATTCTTCCATATACAGTATGGCAGAGATATAATTTTTACTGGTTTTATTATTTATGTCTGATTTTTAATATGTTGCTTTTTGTTTTTACTTTGTAAAATCTGCACTTCATAATCCAATCCTCATTTTCAAGGTGTGATTTTTTTCCTTTCAAGTGTCTTTATTTTCAAGGGCAGTATATGTTTCAGAAATGGTACACAGTAAAAGACTAAGGGCTGGAGTCCACATATTTTGCCACGGGGATGCTGCCATCACCATCCTGGCTAGAACATGCAGAAGTACTTACTGTGTGGAGCTCCGTGATCATGCACTGATATCCCATGCTCCTGTTTTCAGCCACATCTCCACCATGGCAAATGTATGTGCTCCAGCCCTAAGAATATCAAATGCAATATGTCCATCATAACTAGGCCACACCAGGTTCAGTGATAAAGTGATATACCATATATACTCTGCTCAAATTATTAACTATACTCCTCAGTACATGATAAATTTCTATTTCCCATCTTAGTACACTCCAAAACTTCAACATTTCGCTTTGGTCTCAAGTTTCACTATATCACTGAGCTTGTACCATGACTAATTACTATGTATTTAAATAGGTGTTTTTTTTCTATCTATGTCCACCAAAAGCTGTTTAGAAGCATACAGAGGAATCATCCCTCCCACATATGCATTTTTAAAAGAATATTTTCAGAATTTTAATTCAGTATAATTTTGAACCTTAACAGTAAGATTTATCAAGAAGCTCTTCAGACACCAGAGTCATTTATTTTTTACAAGAAGATGCTTGTTTGAACTCTCAACAATTTATCTAGATTTTGGGTCAGACATTAAGATTCAAAGTCAGTGTAGAGCATGGGTATCAAATTGGCCTCTGGGCCGGATGCATCATGCACAGACCACGCCCACCCCAGCTCCGCAAAGGGAAAAAATGTCACGAAACCTCACATGACAGCAATGTGATGCCGCAAATTTGACACCTGTGGTGTACAGGATAGATTGATTACTGAAGGACGTTAACCATGGGGAAAACACAAGATAAAATTTGAAAACCTCTCTGCCCATGCATCTACAGGGATTCCTCAACTTACAACAGTTCATTTAGTGAGCATTCAAAGTTACAACAGCACTGAAAAATGTGACTTATGACCATTTTTCACTGTTATGACCTTTAAAGTATCCCTATGATCATGTGACCAAAATTCAGATGCTTGGCAACTGATTCATATTTGTGACGGTTGCTGTGTCCCAAGCATATGTGATAATCTTTTCCAAACTTCTCACAAGCAAAGTCAATGGAGAAGCCAGGTTCATTTAACACCAGGTTTACTAAATTATCAACTGCAATGATTCACTTAACAACTGGGCAAGAAAAGTCGTAAAATGGGGCAAAACTTGCTTAACAAATGTCTCGCTTAACAATTGAAATGTTGAACTCCATTGTGGTTGTAAGCTGATGACTACCTGTATTAACCCAACCTAAACCATTATTCCCATCATCCAGTGTCATTAAAATATGAGGTTTGCAAGGGATCTAGAAGATCATCTAATACAGTGGTTCTCAAAATTTTCTTTACCACAAACCCCTTTTAAATATATTTTGTGGCCATAAACAACTAAGACATAACTCAAGATTTAAATCATAACATTTTTTCAAACTTTTGTGGACCTTTTGACAACATCGTGGATCCCCCTATGGGTCTACATACCACAGGCTGAGAATCACTGATGTAACACAATCCTCTCTCCAGTCCAGGAATCTACTATTATATTATTATAACATTTAGTAACATAACTTACAGAAGCATTCCTCTTCAGAAATGCAATTTTGTGCAATGCACAAAGTTTTAATCATCATCACCACAGTAAAAGAAATGCTGAAAATGTGCAACAAAGGATTGCTATCAATCCTAGAGATGTAGATTAAATATTGAATTAGCAAAGACCATCTTTTCCCTAGAGCCTGCCAGGTTCCCTAGATTGGGAGTCTCCTTAATAAACAGAAGGAACCCCTCTATTTGTAACACAACTCAGTTCAAGCATCTCTGAAATGGAAAAATGCAAACTAGTGGTTCCTGAAATTCTGTATATGTTATAGTAACTATAATAGCGAATGCCAATATATTATTTGTCAGTATTAATGGTAAACCATTCTAGGTTAGCCTTTTAATCACAGAAAAACACTAACTTTACCAAAATTATGACAATGACATGAATTAGCAACGCACAATATTTGAAAGATGGGGAGAGAAGAGAATCCTTTAAATCCTTGTTATTTGATTCAAATGAACTACCATGTAAAATATATGCTGCATTTTAAATGTGTTTTGTATAACGTTTACCTCAGTAGAATACTTAAATGCAATTCTGAGATATGTTAGACCACAAAGCAGGGGTGAAATTCAGCAGGTTCTGGAGAACCAGTAGTGGAAATTTTGAGTAGTTCAGAGAACCGGCAAATGACTGACTCCAAAGTGGGGTGGGAATGGAGATTTTGCAGTATCCTAACCGTAACATTAACGCTTTCCCTGCCACGCCCACCAAATCACACCCACAGAACCAGTAGTAAAAAAAATTGAGTTTCACCACTGCCACAAAGGCTTTTAACCCAGCTATTTCTTCCACAATATATTATTGTGGATTTTTATTGACAATGATAAGTTACTTATATTACTTCTGCAATAATGTCTTATTTCTGCAATATCAAAATTGTTCACCAAATTCATTTACTAATCCCTTAATCTCTTGAAAATGTAAGGCTTTTTTAAAATTTCGCAATTCCACTACATTAAGTGAAAATTGATGAACAAAGATGCACATATACCATCTCCTACTAACAACACTCTTGTAAATTTAGGGACTTTTACTTTTCCATAGCAATTAATGAATATTAAACCTGAAATTATAGGGCGGATACCAGGTGGAAAATAGGTGCTGGCAATGGGAATTACTAAACTGCTAACCCCGAGGCACAATGCCAAGTGAGAGTGCGAAACTCCAGATAACTCCAGATTTCCACCCTACCAGTTCAGTTATCTGCTACAAAAAGATATCCTTCACTGCAGTCAATCTGAAAAAGCTGTATCGCTTCAATCAGTCATGCCTTATATGTTGGTTGAAGAATGCAACTCTGCATATTTTATGAACTTGGGAACCTGAATCATCTCTCTTTTCTATGGACAATGTGTACAAATACTGCAGCTATATTTCTGTATTCTCATGGTTAATGGTTTCTAATCCTTTAAAGAAAAATGCCTGTTACTTAAACATTGCTAGGAAGGGCAAAAGGCTGAAAACAAAAGCTAAACACAATTCAGGATTAATCTGATATAAAAGAGAAAAAAAGAGATTCTTGAACGGCAAATGAATTAACAAAAAAGGACAAACTCTGCATGCCCTGATCTGGAAAGCACGCTAATCTTCTGAAGCAGAGTTAAGTAAAAATGGGAATGTACAAATACGGAAGAAATGTCTACCACTTTGGCAATTAATATTTTTCTGAAAAACACCATTTGAAACAACTCACTGTAAATGAAAAAAGAATTCTTTTTCAAAATAAAAGTTAAAGTAAGCTAAAATTATTCTTATTAAAAGATTTCTATACAAAGGGAAAGGAGAAATAATTTGTAAGGAGGAAATTTTATACCATGCTTGTACTTCCAGTAAATTCAAATGAGCTAATGCAAATAATTTTTACACAACACTTAAAAAAACTGGAAATTGATTTGATGGTGCAGAACATAGTGCTCTGGAATCATGATATATTATAAACATATCTCAAATTCTTTTCTTATGCACTGCTTCATAAATATTGCAAAAAATATTATTTGAGCATTATTGATGTTGCAATTAATACAAATATTAGTAGGATTAGAAGAAAATTAAGGTAAATTTCACTCGCATCAGTTAATATATGAAGACATTTTAATTTTTTTACCATCACGTGACTCTTTCTTATCAGAGTAGAAATACCTCAGAATTTATTAAAGTGGCAATATGAGCTATATTTACATCACATTTCTACAAAGTGGTTTGGTTTTAGGTGAAAATTTACAAATACAAGGGATGATGGTTAGAGTATTTTATGTGAAAAAGAAGAGAAATGTCAATTAAAAGTTAATTTAGAATGAAATGTAATTGTAAGTTTTCAATCATTGTTACAACACTGGAACTAGAAGAGAACTTATTCATAAATTATCTATTCCCTCTGTTTCAGATATCTGCTAATCCAGAATTCAGATGACGAGGACCCTGCTGGCTCTTAAAACCTAAGTATTCCCTGGGACATTGGGCCAGAATATTGAGTGAACTTATCTGTAGATATTATGGGAGCATATTGGTTAGCATCTCAGTTGCCAATTTATTCTGCTATTTTGGTATATATTCTTTTTACTATTTCTATTTTACTTTAACACAAAACTAAATAACTGAGTTGATCTAAGGGTGCCCAATATTCTGAAGTCAATTGCCAAAGTGCATAGAGGGTTATAGTAGTAAGTTCGACACCTTGAATGGCAAGAGCATAATGTTAGATTTATCCTTTGGGGTTTTAAGAGGATTTTTTTTTATATGCCATTAGTGATATTGTGATATAACAAGAAAATTCATGATTGTTAAATTTATCGTTAAAAAGTAGAAAAGCTATGAAAAAAAATTAATCTATAAGAAAGCTGAAATGAAGGAGGGGTTGAAATGTATATTTAGAGAGTAAGAAAGATGACCTTGATCTTCTGCCGAGATAATGCAAATTATCTCAGCAGAACAACAAGAGATCTCTTAAATCTACAAGAGAGATAATATTCAGAAGTAGCACAAACAGACACCTCCCTAGTTCAATGGAGGAGAAGGAGGAGAAGGAAGAAATGCAGCACCATCAGACTATCAAAATTACCATATGTTATTATAGCCTATATAAAAGTAGTTTCAGCCTTCTTATTTATTGATCCAATCTCCTTAGTGGGGTTGCTATCAATCTTGCAAATCTAATGGTTACTGACAAACAGGAAACTCTAAACTAGAGACACTGCTTCAGCAATAGCTGGATATGAGGCCTTATTTGAGAAATCTAGATTTAGGGACAACCTCAAATTAATGTAAGAAGCCAACAATAGAATTTGTTTTTATTTCAGAGCAGATGCAACATGTCTTAAAGGTGGGAGTTATTAATATCTATGTAATGATAATTCTGATTGTCATGGTCTGGTGCCACCAAACTCAGAGAGGAGGATGGCCCTTAGACCAGTCCTTCCCAAGTTTGTAATGATTTTTCTTCTCCCCTAAAGTCACAAGTTGGTTGACCCTGTAAGGATATCGCAAAATATGGAGGCACCTATGCCTTGGACGGATTTGTGTCTGCACTGCCTTCCCCTG